GCCTCAGTATTTGTTTGCATTTATACATGTTTTATAACGATTTCCTGGATGATCCACGACTGAGGAGTTCTAGACGTTTCTCAATCCCTTGGGGTATAAATGGTGAATTCAAGTCTAAGGAGTTCAAGAAATATGTTGTTCCTGGCCTTTGTACTGTTCTAATGCACCTAATCCTTTGAAGATTGTCCGGCAAGCATGGTGGTACCGACACCATGCACAAAGACTGGTTGTACGTTTTGTATAGTATCTACTCCGGAAGAGATAATGTTGTTGATCTGACCGAGGTGCTATGGCAGGACTTTCGAAAGTTTTCCATCAAAAGGAAGCCTAAGGAGATCTCAAGTCTGAGATTTTGGGCTCTAACGCTCCAACAACTGTATCATGAAATATTAGAAGCCATTTCTCTCAATTTCAATCAAAAAGAAGTATATTGTTCCTTAAGGCTATTAAAACTTATAGGTTACCAAACCAATCTTCTTTCGGACCTATCGGGCATTTGCTAGAACATATGTTGGCTGCAGTTCCATCTGATTCATAATAGCTCAAACACCATCTTGAGACTTCGAATCTGTATGACCCTACATAATCTGCCCCAGTCTCGGATGACCAGCCTTCAGATGTGAACAAACCATTTTCTACCGGTGGCCGTAAGAAGAAAATGGCTAAACGAAAGGCCACACCCTCAAAAGTTAAAGCTAAAAAGAGGACCAAAGCTAGTGGATCCTCTCGACTGGATACACATATTGGTATTCGATCTGACTTTGGATCACAACTAACCCCTCCCGTCCACTTTTTCGAAGTACCCTTCGGAGTTTCAATATCACATGCACACACTCACGGGGAGTCAGCACATAATCTACCCCCCATCTTACCAAAAAGATGGTGCTGGTATTGAACATAGTCCCTTCAAGCCCCGTTGGACACACCCACGAGTCATTTTGGAAATCCATCTCGGTTCTACACATGCACAATCAGGGGCCCTACCTCTGATTCTAAGCTTTCTGAACCTGGAGCAGTCCCTTCGACTTCGAAAGCCCCAACCGGTCTGATACCTGGTTCAGGTAAAGGACGATCAGGTATTTTTGACAAAGATTGGGCTAATTTTGTAGACAGGGATCATTCTCATCATTTGGAACTAACAAGAGCACAAGTAGAGTATACGCTTATTTCAATGCGTCAAAGAGCTCTTCAAAGTCGTCTTCCATTCACTTTTCCATCTGATGAACAGACTCATCAAGAGTTACATCCTTCCGAAGAAGCTCCGCACACCACTACAGGAGATGTTCCTGATCCTACAATTGTTTCGGATGATCCTCCTCCGATGTTCACAAGCGATGAAACTCCCAAGCCTCCCTCTGACGAAAAACATTCAGATGACATAATGTTTGATGATGACAACACATATATTGGTTCTATTTCGATCCTCACATCTTTCAAGACGTTTCAGAAGCCTTCCTCCTCCAAACCATCATATGATTTCGATATTTTCTCCTGCTCGAAAGAATCCAAAGAAAATGAAGAGGTTAATTTTGATGACAACACTCAAGGCAATAAAGATCAAGCCAATCCAACTGGTAATCCCGAGCAATCCGAACCGTAAGATGATAAGAGTGATGACGATGATAAGAAGTCTGAGAGTTCTACCTTGGACACATGATGTTCGGCTGAAAACATTGCAAATCCTTTTGCCTTGTTAGAACTCTGAGACAATGTCGCAGTTGTTGTTTCCAAATTTGACTCTCTCGACTAGACTTTTGCACAACTTGATTCCAAAATTGATCAGAAGGTTACCAGTATCGACTCCAAGCTTGAACTTATTCTTAAATCTCTCTCCGAGATCAAAGATGTTGCCCCCTCCAAACTCGATCGAGCAAATCAACTCGACCAACTCATTTCCCTCTGCTTCAAGCACACTCTGGAAGAATTTGAACAGAAATACAACGATAGCCTCGATCATCACATCTCCACCACCACCATTATGCTCAAGATTCATGATGAAATGATTAGTGCTACCAACGAGCTGATCAAGCAGACTCATGTTCGTCATCAGAAACAAATCCAAAGGTTGGAGAAGGAGATTCAGAAAAAGGATGAGATGAATATGATTATGCAAGAGGTTCTCATCAAGCTGATCCGAGCCACCTTGAATATCGTTGACTTTTCGAATTATAAATTCGATGAGATGCTCGTTATCATTGATGAAACTTTTGCCCATCTTAAAGCTCAAGCTCCCACCGTCGAGGCCTATGACTCTCTCTACAAACAGATTAATATGAGCTTTCAGAGAGTGCTCGAACGCTTAAGTGAACTTCAAAGTAGTGCAAGACATGCATCGTATGTCGGTCCTTCCAATGCAAGAGGGGGAGAAGGATCTAGTCAAAGAGAAAGAAGGATCCAATGGAAGCCTGTCTCAGAATTTATACTCCAAGATGAGTCGTCCAAAGAAGATATACTGGATGTTGAAACTCTTGAACCTCTTGAGTCTGGTGATGAAGAAGATGAAGACATGATTGAAAATGGTGTTTTAGGACTTCAATCTATCAGGGAACAACCTGTGAAGATCCTTTCGTATGAAGATAAGATTAAATGGTCTTTGGTTACATGGCCATAATCGTTAGCAGAAATTTTCAGACGAAGCCGAGATATGGCAAAAATCAAGACAAAGCTAACCATTGACGCATTCCGCGCTACGCAATCTATGCTTCTACCAATCCCTGCTCCGAGGATTGTTCAGATCGATGAAGGTTCTCCTACCTGGAAACCTGATGATCTCCCTGAAGAGCCTCTTGTTCCTCCTCCACCAGAATTCATCATCATCAAATCTGGTCAACAAATCATATCTGACCTAAATGCACATCCACAAGACAAAAGAAATAAGATTGATGATGGTCTCAAGAACAAATAGATCGAGCTTTGGAAGAAAGCGTCAGGATTCAAGCACTGAAAGATAATCTGAATCCGATGTTGGGCATCTCTCCTCTCTTCCGAGAAGGAATTATTCACAATATACACTTTGTGCCCTTCATGTACTATGATTTTCCAACACAGGATGCCGATCAACATGATCAACCAATCTCTCCTTAAGGTTAATTCTACATCAAGTACACTCCTCTTCATCTGAATGATGATCCTCAAATAATCATCATGACAGAGCATGAGAGATTGAGAACCTTCTACTCCGTTAACGCACGTTCCCAAAAAGAAGTATGGTCTTGGAAGCGGATTACCAAGATCTGTGGATTCAGTAACAAGTTTCAGATCCAGTTCGATCTCGATTGTATGTTGTACATATATTATGTCTCTCAGAATAAAGAAACAACCATCACTCTCACGGATGCCGACTTTCCCTCAATTAGCCCTAATGAAATTCTCAACATTGGTGCTCACCTCCGAGAACGCCAAACAAATCTCTCAAGCATAGGAGCTTACAGTGCTGCAATCAATTTCTTGAAGCACTACGTTGCAGAGTTTTGCATGTCCGACATTTAATTTTCTCACTTGTTCGGAACCGAGAATGTTTTGGCCAATCGAAAAGAATTCTTTAGATCTTGGCGAAAGGCCCCGCTGAAGAACAAAAACTCGGATATATCTATCTCAAAAAGAAGACCAATCGAAAAGAATTATTTAGAGTTCTTGACAAATATCTAGTTCCATTAAATATGCTTCAGAAGTTCATCTCCAACATTGTAAAAAGTGATTCTCATGAGCATGTGAAGAAGAAGTTCACTGAACACCTCAAATGGTATTTGGAAGTCTGAAGTTGGCTACACAATGTCTATCTCTTTGTGTCTTAAGAAGCCAGCTGAGTTGATTGATTACTAAGTTCACTTAGGGGGAGATTGTTGATACATAAAAGTGAACCTCTAGCAATCCGAAGCCAAACCAAAACCGAAGTCATAGTGCATTCCGAGATGTGAAGAGTTTCAAAGTCAGTCTTTTTCCGAGATGAAGACATTTCCGAGATATTCATAGTTTATTTATGTAATAAAATCTGTACAAGCATTAAATGCTTATTGTCGTTTTTATTGATTGAACGGTCAATAGGACAAAATCGAGTAAATCGTGTGTGTCACTTTTTCTGACTTATCAAATTTACATTCTCCATGCAAGTCTTGTATTTTGTCTTATTGTCTCTCCTTCCTATTTAAGGAGATGATTTGTGCATGTATTGTAACCTTGAAGTAGCAATATTCTCTTCACATCAAATACAAAATATCTTGCAAGTAAAATCTCTTTCTTCAACAATCTTCTTGTTCTTAATTTATCTTCACTTTGCTCATATTCACTTTACTTTACTTAAATATTTTGTTGAATACTTTGTTGATTTTCATACTTCAAGACAAGACTGGTTTACCAGACTTGATTGGACCAAAATATTAGCAACAGACATCGATCATAATTTAATTCAAGGTTTGAGTTTTCAAACTTTGTCTGCACACTAATTCTTGCATTTTCACATATATTACATGAGTTTATTTTCAAATAAAAAATTTACATATAAAGATCTAAAAATTTAAGAAGTTTGAATTTATAAGGAAAAAAGAAAAATATTGAATTATTGAAATATAATGTTTAATTTGTTATTTTTAATTTTTTTTTATTTCGCTTTTTAATTTAAACAAATAATTTAAATAAATAAATAAATAAAATAATTTGATTCAATTTAGAAATTTAGAAATTAAAAGAAAAGATGTACTAATAAAAATTGATATGCATTTATTAATATATTTATTAAATTTAAATATTATATAGAATTTAATAAAATTAAAAAAAACACATAAAATAATAAGTAGAAAAAACTAAATCAAAAAATTCTTAAAAAATAACCCTCAAATACAATAAATGTGAAAATAAAATATTTATTTATTAGAATAGATAAAATATATATTTCGAATTTATTAAATGTTTAAATGAATTTTGGCTCATATCAATTTAATTATGTCTTATTTTCTCTCTCCTCGTGTTTACATATACCTGATCTCCATGATCGTTATCGACCCACATTTTGTTTTCCAAACTCTCTTGCATCTTTCAGTTCCAAATTATAAACTGCAAAAATCATAATTGAAAGTTTAAAATATGGCAGCCTTTTCATACCAGCAACACCAATCTTTTGTCCTTGATCAGACTGTTTTCTTTCCATTCCCTACCACCACCACAACCACCTCTTTCTCTCAGTTCCACGAACACCATGATCAAGTTTATGTAGCAAACAAGTTGCAGAACCCAGATTCTTCAATGTCAATAGTTCTTGATGATCAGAAAGTTTCTAGTGGGAATGATCAGTTGTTGGCAAAGAAGAGGAAGGACAAACAAATTTGTTCTCTACACCGTGCTCAGTCTAAAGTAATAACTTGATTACTTTTAAGTTATTTAATCAAATTTTCTTTAAAATGATAATGAAGTAAATAAAAATTATTTCGTTTTTTAAAATTGAAGGATACAAGCACCAAACTGAAGAAGCAAAAGAAAAGCAATGATTATCAAGAGGAAAAAAAGAAGAAGATTATACCGAAGCAAAGTTCTTGCGAAGAAGAAGGGGCAATTGGGTACATTCATGTTAGAGCAAGAAGAGGCCAAGCTACTGATAGCCACAGCCTTGCTGAAAGGGTACCCTTCTTCTACATGTTCACACCTCAATTTCCAATTATGCCCTCGTCTTATTTCATGCATATTAACATGAAATTAATCACTAATTAATATTTTTATTTTTATTTTAATCTTTTTGCAGGTAAGGAGGGAGAAAATAAGTGAAAGGATGAAGCTGTTGCAAGCCATTGTTCCAGGTTGTGACAAGGTGAGTTGTTCTTGCTTCTGTCTTTGTTTTTTATTTGAAAATAATTAATTAAATTTAATTAAAGTGGAATAATATGAGTATTTTTTCCGACAATTTCATGTGGGATTGATTGATATGCAGGTTACTGGAAAGGCCCTCATGTTGGATGAAATCATCAATTATGTTCAGTCCCTACAAAATCAAGTTGAAGTAATATTATTTTTCTATATTTTAAAAATATATTATTAAGCAAAGAACATAAAAACTTGTTTGCTAATCATTAATAAATAAATTATTTCAGTTTCTCTCCATGAAGCTTGCATCTTTAAATCCCATGTTATATGACTTTGGAGTGGATATGGAGGCATTCATGCTTAAACCTGATGAGGTAATTAATTAATTATTTCTTTATTTAGGGTTTGTGGAATTATTTATTTTATTTATTTAATAATGATTTGAAAAGTGCTGTATACTATATGTCCAGAATATGAGCAGCATGGTACTGCCAATCATGCCAATGCCAAGTGTACAACAATGTAATACCCACGGCGGAGCGTCCCCTGCCACCTTTGCTCCGGCCACCGATAACTACCCTCATTTGCCACTGCTGATTGATGCTTCAGCACCACCTAATTCACTGTTGTTTCAACAATCCCAAATGCCAAATATTCTTTCCCAGGTATCTTTTCGAACTCATGAATGGTCACAAAACAAATTATTGTTATTTTATTGTTATTTTGTTTTATTTATATAAAAATAAATAATTTAATTTTCCAGGGAAATGGACAACACTTGTGGGAAGCTGATGAACAAAGACTAAAACTTGACACTCGTTTCGCTATCAACAGTAACTTGAGTTCTTTTTAATTAATCATGGTGAATACTCTTCTTATTTAATTATTCAAATTCATGGTGAATACTATTCGTATTTAATTATTTTAATTTATATTCATTAAACATTAAACGAAACGATAACTAATTATTATCTTTAATTTGTTTCAGTGTATGTAGTTTATGCATGCATGGAGATTTATCAGCTCATCATCGTCGGCTAAGCAAATTAATCAAATTCATGTGAATATCCCGAAACAAAATAGCTTCCACATTTGATGATCATTATCAAGTATCCTTGAGGCTTGAGATATGTGAAGAGAAATTGATCAAGAACTGATCATGAACACAAGGAACCCTATCCATTATGAACACATGTTTATTTAGAATGTTTGTAAAAGAACACTTGTTAATTTTTCAATTTTAATTTTTTTTGTATTATCAATTGAATTAATTCTACAGTTAGTTACTGTTGGTCTCGACCTTTTGTGTTGGTTCATTGTATTCGGCTGTTTTATTTTGCTTTTTGTGTGGGTCTGAAATGTCAGAAAACATAAGCAATATTCAGAAAAATATTTGTTTCCATTGCTTCTTCATTGTTATACTCATAATTTAATGTGCTACATTATATAGCATACATCAGACTATATAGAGCTATGGGTATCATATAAATATACTCTGCGGGTTCAAATTTAGCCTAAACTAATATTTGAGTATTTGACAATCTTATGAAACAGACGGCTTGTTTAATTCACTGGATATATCATACTGTACGTGCTAGTTAAATTGACCAAACATGTACATAATGTTTTAAACGTCCTAAAAAAGCAAAGAGTTTGTTTTTACAAATGCATAATACAATAGTACTATCGTGATTCATTACCTTATAGATTCAAACGTTTTCTATACAAGTTAACTCGTTTATTTTTCACCTTACATTAATATTGTCTATGCTAAATTAATTAGGACACTAAAGCGAGTCAGTTGGATCAAATCTTGTTTAGAATCGACCAACAGGAAGACCAAGATGCTTAGACGGGTATTTATTGACAAAATAAATATGAACTATGACACAAAACTACCCTAGCTTCATTTAAAAAAAAAAAAAAAAAAAAAAAAAAAAAAAAAAAAAAAAAACTAGATTTTGATTGAGCTTAATATTTCAATGACAAGAATTATATTAAAGATTGCTTTTCGTCCTATTAATTAGCAACCACTAAGCAAGTTCTTTGTCAACTTAATTAACTCAAATAAGTAACTGATTCAAATAAATAACTGATTCGTACATAACATCAGCTACCATAAATTATACCATATCTTAGAACCAAATGACACTTGACCAATCGGTAAGGACTGACTTTTTAAATAAAAAGTCATGAGTTCAATTCTCTAAAGAGACATAGATGGTAATTAGAGTAGGTTAACTAGTTTGCTATTTCAATAGGGACGGTTTACTTGATATTAAAAAAAATAGAGATCTTGAGATTCAACATCCGCTATATATTTCTCATTTACCGCTCTAACGCTCCGGTGTACCGGCAGCAGCATGATATGCGTAACCATATATGATTATAACAATTGGTGGCAGAAGAGGTGGTGGTGACAGAGATGGTGATAGTATAAGTGACGAATGTGACAGTGGTGGGGTCGGCTGATGACAGAGGTGATGGTAGTGGTGGTGGCGGGTGTGGTGGTGTGGAAGGTGGTAGAGGTGAAAAGAACGAACGATGCTACATAATCATTTACGATTATTACTGACCCACCACACCGGTACGTAAAAATCTACATGATAACTTTTTATTTTGAGAACCAATAATTTTATGTCTTAGTTTTATAAAATATAGATTTCTTTAAACAAAAGATACAAAACGTTAACAACAATATTTTTGATTTTTTTTACAAACTCACTGAAATGGTAAATTGAAAAACTCCTTTATTATTATTATTTTTTAATTTTAAGAAAAAAAATTATGTTATATTTATTAAAAACCAATATTTGTTAAAATTAAAATATGAAAAATTCAAAAACTTATTTTAGTGATTTTGTATAAATTTACTAATATAATGAATAAAAATATTTCTTAAATTTTGTTTATTTTGTATGGTTTTTGTTTTTATGTGTTTACTCTTCGGAAAATACATGTTCCCTTTTTATGTTGACAAAACTGTAAGATTGGTCCATGTGGTTTTCAGAAAACTTTGGATAGGGTTCAAAAAGTTTTCAACTTGCATGAAAGATCCAAAATCAAGGTTTTTCTGTGCTTTTGGTCCATAATACACTTGAAAAGTCGATTTTACCCTTTTCATTTTTTTTATTTTCTTTATTTACTTTGGTATTTAAATAATTAAAAATAAAAAATAAAAACTAAATCTCACCCACCTCCTCTCCACCGTACCCCAATTTCTCTCTCCCTCTTTCTTATGACTCTCTTTCCCATCTTTTTCTTCACCACACATCACCTGCAAATCAAAACTCACACAAAAATATGAACAAAAAACCCAGAATCTGCAACAACCTTCTTCTTCAATGAGTTTACAATTCATCGAAATGTATAAAATTATTGTAGAAGCAAAAGCCAACAAAAAAAATCAAATTTATTTACAATTATGCCTAAAACACTTAAAATTAGAACACCAAAATTCATCCTAATTAAGTGTATTGTAATCCGAAAAATTACAGTTGAGACACCAAAGTCATTAAGGGTCGATTTCTTGATACAAGATTGGATTTTTCAGAACAGCCACATAGAATATTTTTGTAATCAAAACAGGAAGAATAAGGTGAAGGTGTTACAATCACAAGTTGAGGCAGTTCCCGGATGGACCTCAAGTCAAAGTGCATCCCAACACAACCTCTTCAAGCTCTTGATAACCACAAACCGAGCAACAGTAGCCAAATGATAAAATCTCGCTAAATCCATGTTTAAAAACCATTGTAGAAAACCTATGATGTCCAAATTTTTTTTTGAATTAGTGGGTTTCTTCCATGAGTAGGCAGAAAACACCAAATCAGTGATGAACACGAATCGTAGAAAATGATCAACACAATGATGAACAAGAATTGCAGAAAATCAAAATTAAAATTCTAAACCAACCTAGAAATTTGCAGAAGACACAAAATCAAAATCTGGATTGAAACCCTAAAATATTATGGTGGCTAAAGGAAAGAGATGTGTATGTCGCCACAAGTTAGAACGTTTCAAGCTTTCAGATTTGTTACTAGATTCAACGTTTTCGACTTCATTAAGGTTAATGCAGGTTTCAAGCTCCAAGACGTAAATCCACTAGTTTAGGAAGGAGGGGGAATCGAGGCGATGAAAGGTAAAATACTCACCGACGAGAAAGGGTGGCGACCATTAGGGCTTCTCGACGGGGTGAGAGACATAGAGACGATCTGAAAGTCGATGTCTTTTTGATGAAGAGGGAAAGAACACGAGAAAGAAATATAGGGTGGGGTGGGGCTTGTAGGCCCATTTTTTTTTCTTTTGCTTTTTTTTAATTATAAAACTATTAATACAAATAAAGAAAATGTAAAAAAGAAATAACAAGGGCAAAATAGTATTTTCAAATTTTCAAGGACCAAAACCACATAAAATTCTTGATTTTGGACCTTCGATGCAAGTCGAAAACTTTTTGGACCCTATCTAAAGTTTTTTGCAAACCACAGGGACTAATTTTACAGTTTAGCATATTTACGCAAAACAGTCCCCAAACTTTTAAATTAAACATGTTTTGCATGTTAAATCTTCATTTCTCAATTTCATAAATAATCGGTAAAAGTTTATCTTCATAGTACTCATCATTTTTACGATCCTTATATATAATTATGAATTTTTTTTATTGAAACCAGCGAGATGTTATTATTAATTGTTGTTTGAACTACTGGTCAAACTTAACAAAAATAGAATTAAATTGGTAAACCACATAATAACAGAGAGTACTTCATGGTCAAAGGTTTTAATAGATGTAGCACCTATGGAAACAATTAATGATTTAAAAAGGTAAAATATTAAATACGCTTAAAAGCCTACAACCAAGTCAATATGGATTATTTCACATTTTATTTGTTTTTAAGTAACAAAGAGTTTGCAATCCAACAGTATTTGGTTTTATCCTCCCTCGTATTGTCGATGGTTCAAGTCCTTGTATACATTGTTGAATTTAGCTGTTAGATTAGGATGAGATTAAACTATCTTGTTCAAAAAAAAATTGTTTTAAAATAACTAAATTAACATTTATCTACTTGAAATATTTTAAAAGAAACTTCCTATAATTTTACTTTTAACATATTTTATATTTGTATTTTAACATAAACTTCCTACTGAAGACGATTTATGGGTTTTTTTCATCCAATTTACCTTCGGCTCCGATTTTATGGGTCTAAGCTTCAATTTCGTTTATGGGGCTTTTTAAGACAGAATTTGGGTGTTTTTGAAGACAAATTATGGGTTTTTTAAGACAATTTTTGGGTTTTTTAAGTCATCGAGTTTACTTCAACTCCAATTTCGAGGGTTTCCTTTTGATTATTAAGTTTTCTTCTATATGACCTTCAAGAAGTTTGAAGTATTTCCTTTTGATTATTAAGTCATCATTTTTTAGGTTAATTTCCTTTGCGATTTTGTTTGATTATTCTCAATTGTGGACTGTGGTAGTCATGAATCTGATTTTGTTTTGGTTTGGGTCTTGCCGAAGCTGAGAGATGGTTGGTGGTTCATGGTAGGTGGACGGTGGAAAAGGCAATTCTTCAAAAACAAGAACATGAAGTCTAACTTTCTTCAAGAACGAGAACATGAAGAAATGGAAATTGAAATCATTGGTACATAACCTTTGTAAAAAATTTTAATTTTTACGGTCTTCTGTTTTTTCATTTGCTTTTTTTACATTTACTCTTCATTTTTTTTTTCTTTTGGGGTTATTTTTTTAATCGGTGGCCTTCGGATTTGTAAATGAATCCTTGAATGGGTATAACATTCTTGAGTTTGATTTTATGGGTCTGAATGGGTTTGATTGTCGCGTTGTGGATTTGATTTTGTGATTTCTATGTTTAATTCCTATTACCATTCAGTGGGGTGTTTCCGGTGGATTTGATTACGTAATTTCTGAGATGAACGAGTTGGGGTATGTTACCTTGTTTGTAGGGGGTCAGGAGTTAAGATTTAAATTAGTTTGTATTTTTTTAAATAATTATAATTGTAAAAATATGGGTAAATATGTAATTTTACCATGGTTTAACAACACAAAGTTAACAGCTTTAACGGTAGTGATCAAATGCCCAACTTTTAAACATATCAGGACAGTCCGTGTTAATTTTTAAAAAGAGGGACTAAACTTGCTTTTTGACACACCTACAAGAGGGAAAATTCGTGAAATTTACTCTATTTTTTATTTACCGATTCCTAAATTGAGTCGTTTACTTAGTCACTTCAAAAATACTAATGATTATAAAGAATCTTAATTTCATCGACATGTCATTATTTATCTTTAAATTCGTTGTTTAATTCGTATTAAGCGAGATTTGATCTTTATTAATCCTAA